CACCTTACCTCCCCTTATTAGGCCTTCACTAATCAGAATCCCTACCTGCTCTACTTAGGTCCTCGTCTAAGTAGCCGCCTTCTCATTAACACAAGACAGACGTAAAAACAAAGACTCGGCAAGTCGCTCTAAAAACACTGAAAATTGTCGGTCTTTTTCCTCGTTAGCGATTCCAGCTAATGAGAGCCTGGCTCTAATAAGGAGCAGCTTTCTCCGTTTAATGAGAGCCTACTTATAAATCGAGGCTTTTTTGAGGGTTTCTGGCTGAACGAGTTCTCAAAGAGAACTCTTAGCTCTCAAAAGACTCGAGAGTTTGAGATAATTGGCAGTTCTGCTGAATCCTGCCAAACTGCAGAGTCCTGCTGAATCCTGCCAGTCAACAGAGTGCTGCCAATCAGCAGAGTCCTGCTGAATCCTGCTAAACTGCAGAGTCCTGCTGAATCCTGCCAGTCAGCAGAGTCCTGCTGAATCCTGCCAGTCAGCAGAGTCCTGCTGAATCCTGACAGTCATCAGAGTCCTGCTGAATCCTGCCAAATAGCAGAGTCCTACTGAATCCTGCCAGTCAGCAGAGTCCTGCTGAATCCTGCCAGCCAGCAGAGTCCTGCTGAATTTCTCTGTTATTTATTATTATTATTACATTTTTTATCGCACCTCTAATGAAAATTGCCTTAATTTTTAATTTTTTAATCTCTTTCTGAGCGACAAGTTTAGCGTGTTTGCTTCGCTCTCTTGCCTTGCGAGCTGTAAATAATATTCATGAATATGTACATTATTCATTAATGTATAAAAAATATTTGGATGTACACATTATTCATTGATACATACATTATTCGTGGTTGTATACATCATCCATGGATATATACATTAGTAATAGATGTATACATTATTCAAAGATACACACATTATTCATGGATGTATACATTATTCGTGTCTGTATTCATTATTCATGGCTGTATACATTATTCATGGATATGCACATTATTCGTGGCTGTATACATTATTCATGGTGATAGTGGATGCTTCGGTGCTACGATTACTGAGACACCATTACGGGGCATTGCAGAGGTGCTAATTTTATCTTAATGCTAGCGATATATCATCTAATAATCTATTTTAAACTGCTTCTAATTATTCACTGAAGCTGCTAAGCGACGCACACTGTCCAACTGTTAGAACAGAAAAAATTTTCAACTGTCTTAGAATTTCGGCCCAAAATGAGCTTTCCCGCACAGAATTCCAACTTATTTCTGCAAAGAAATTTCTTTTGAAATTTCCAATAGGCAACCGAGGCATGTTTCGTCCTTACGGGTCGGAAATCCTGGCCACATCCACGTCAGATTTTTGCTTGATGTTAGAATGTTCGATGCGTTGGATGTTCTCTTCAAAGGATGTCGGTCTTACCACCAGAAATAGAGAAACATTTCCCTCAGGCTTTCGATTTTCCAGGATTTTTAAGAACTTATTTCTTCAAACACACCCATTTGAACACTCACCCCTTCGAACACTCACCCCTCCGAACACTCACCCCACCGAACACTCACCCCTCCGAACACTCACCCCTCCGAACATTCACCCCTCCGAACATTCACTCCTCCACCCTCAGCTTCACCGTGAATACGAATGACGGTAAAAAAAACATATTTTTTATTACAACATTTATTTATCTTTAACTTCACTTCTTGTTGTTTGTTTGTTTGTCTGCTACAAATCTTGTAATCGAAATTTAACACACTTCTACTTATCCTATCGATCTGAAATTTCGCACACTTGTGTAAAGTTGGAGACAATGCATGAATCAAATGTCAAAATAAATGATTTTAAAAATTAAAATTTGTTTAAATATAAAAAAATTGAAAAAAAAATAATTTTGTCAGCTACAAATCTTTTAACTGATATTTGACACACTTTTACCTGTCTAATTGATCTGAAAATTTGCACACTTGTGTGAAGTCAGAGGCAATACATGAATCAATTAATAGAAAAAATAATTTTGAAAAAAAATTTATATATTAAAAAAATTTAAAATTTAATTTTTTTAATATTCGAAAATTAAATGAGAAATTCATTTTACATCTGTAAGATTGGAGACACTGGATTCTTTGGAAGTGTTGTCTTCAAAAAGTAATTTTTAAACGTACATTATTTCAATTACCTTCAGGACAATAAAAAGAAAATGTTGGGATCTTCATATTCAAAGATGACTGGCTTAATGAAGTATGTTGGATACTTTTATGTGGAATATTTTAGATCCTTTATATCTTCTTACGTAAATTGTCGGCCACGCTGGTATAGACACTACAAGTCAAGTCTGAGTCTCATAATAGCAGATTCTAATCTTTTTTAAATTCTATAATAATCAAGGTAGAAGATAAGTAAGTGTGTGACGAAGTGTCTGGTCAAGGCCTAATTGGGTTATTGATATAAATTTTTCGCATTTATGAACATTGATCAGTGAATGCAAATGTTATTATCATAAATCATAATTTTAATTAAAGTGAACCCAGGAATGGCATGAATTAAGTTATGGAGGAGAGAGAATTGAGCTTACTTAAGCTTAAGTTAACCTTAAACTGAAACAGTTTAACTAAACCTCGCAGATAACAAAACAATACCAGAATATTTAATTATGATGTTGTAGCGTGAACAAATCCTACTCTTAATCCTAATAATCTCAATCCAAAAATGTTGGATTATTTTCACGTTAATCCATGTTACTAATATTATTACAAACAGCATTAAATATTCGTAGTTATTATTCTTATCATGTAAGATTGTAAAATATAAAATAAATTAAATTTGTGTTACTGGAGTGCATTTGTGTTGTAAAATGACTCATTCAGGGTGAAAAAAGACTGATATTTGGACAAAATTTCTCTCATTTTTTTGGGTGTTCATCACGATCTTGCGATGGTGGCACGTGTCATTAGTTATTATTACGTGTTCATAGTTATTATTCTTATCATGTAATATTGTTATATATAAAATAGATTAAATTTGTGTTACATCCCACAAAGAGCAGCCTGTGTTAGACCCATGGCGCCCTGGGGCCATACTTTCAAAACTCACTAAGTGAACGTAAGTACTTACGCTCTATTTTCTTGTCTATGATTAAGTGAACGTAAGTACTTACGCTCTATTTTCTTGNACACTCACAAAATTGTATTGGTCATATTGTCCATATATGAAAACAAGTAATACACTTTCTTAACCAGAACACAAGAAGAAATAGCAGTGATACGCCCTTTTACCGTGAAAAAATAGGTCAGAATGACTCATTCAGGGTAAAAAATATAACTCAGTACTCACTGCAGTGAGTGACAGAGCGCATTTTCTCGTCGACGAAAATGTGAAGTGACAGACGGACAGACGGACGGACAGAGAGACAGACGGACAGACAGACGGACGGACGGACATGGCGAGCAAAATAGCGCCTTTTTTCCATAAATGAGAAAATGCGCTAAATAGACTGATGTTATTTGGACAAAAATTTTCTCATTTCTTTGGGTGTTCACCACAATCTCGCGATGTTGGCACGTGTCATTTACTTGCAATTTCAATGGAAATTTTCAGAGCTATGACAATTTTTAGTCTGATCGTACAATTTTGTGTGGATCAAAATTTGTGTTTTAATCATGAACGAAATATTTCGATGTAAACCTTTTAGTAATATTGAACAAATATCTATCATGGCAGCGTAGTCTGGAATAATTCACATCGCCTCAAGCCTTCATTATCTGAGTGCTGGGGTTTCGATAATTTTTCATTTAACTCTGCACACATTTTTAACAGAAAATTTTCGCTGTGGCATTAGAAAATGAACCACAACAACTCTACGGGTTCACGTGCGTGCCAGCATTTAACTACCACATCTACTTACTTAGACACAATAATTAATTAATTACATTTGATAATTCCATCCATAGTTAAAATGAAACAATCATCTTCTAAAATGGTTATATATTATTTACATATTGGAGTGACTAAAAAATTTAATTTGAATTGACTTGTTTTGGCACGGTTTATCGGTAGAACGTTTTACTAAATACTTTAAATTTCGTCATTAGAATCTAAAGATGTCGGATGACGATATCAATACAATATTTCCAAATCTGATTTTCGCAACGACTAAAGCAAGTGCCTAGAAGAGTAACAGACACTGGTTGATATTTGGCAGTCTTCTAAGTCTTCGGACGCTCTGCAGACTAAGAGGTGAGCTGAAGACTGAGAAGTGATCGACGCACACTGAGATCTATGTTTTGACTTTAATTTTTTATCTCACAAAATTATTGGGACAGCCAAACGGATGTCCCAATCCCGCAAATGAGAGGCCAATGCCCCAATTTACCATCACGCTTCATTTAATGCTATAAAATCTCGGTCATTTTGTCGTAGTCCCGCCTAGCAGGTCCCACTCACAGGTCCCACTCACAGGTCCCACTCGCAAATTCCACTTACGCCTCACTTCCCTCGTTTTCTACGCCTCACTTCCCTCGTTTTCTACGCCTCACTTCCCTCGTTTTCAACCCCTTACTTCCCTCGTTTTCCACGCCTCACTTTCTCATTTTCCACGCCTCCTTCCCTCGTTTTCTACACCTCGCGAGGGTTGTTATCTAAGTCATTAAAGTATGCGTTATCTGAGCTCATCACATAAGCACTTGAAAAAAATCGATTAGCGTCCGCGAGGCGCAGAGACGCGCGCGTCTGGGTCGCGTTAGGTGGGGTGGTCTACTAAACCTGGGGCCCAGCGGGTGCCTGGGCCACGTAATAAGAAGCCCTCTTCTGTACCTCGGGCCCTTCTGGTGCCTGGGCAACGTAATAAGGCACGATCTTCTAATAATCGGGCCCAGCGGGTACCTGGGCCACGTAATAAGGAGTCCACTTCTAAAGCTCGGGTCCAGTAGGTACCTGGGCCACGTAATAAGGTGCGGTCTTATAAACCTCGGGCCCAATAGGTGCCTGGGCCATGTAATAAGGCAAGCTATTTTAAACATCGGGCCCAGCGGGTGCCTGGGCCACGTAATAAGGAGTCCACTTCTAAACCTCGGGCCCAGCTGGTGCCTGGGCCACATAATAAAGCGCGCTCTTCTAAACCTCGGGCCCAGTGGGTGCCTGGGCCACGTAATAAGGTGCGCTCTTCTAAACCTCGGGCCCAGTGGGTGCCTGGGCCACGTAATAAGGTGCGCTCTTCTAAACCTCGGGCCCAGTGGGTGCCTGGGCCACGTAATAAGGTGCGCTCTTCTAAACCTCGGGCCCAGTGGGTGCCTGGGCCACGTAATAAGGTGCGCTCTTCTAAACCTCGGGCCCAGTGGGTGCCTGGGCCACGTAATAAGGTGCGCTCTTCTAAACCTCGGGCCCAGTGGGTGCCTGGGCCACGTAATAAGGTGCGCTCTTCTAAACCTCGGGCCCAGTGGGTGCCTGGGCCACGTAATAAGGTGCGCTCTTCTAAACCTCGGGCCCAGTGGGTGCCTGGGCCACGTAATAAGGTGCGCTCTTCTAAACCTCGGGCCCAGTGGGTGCCTGGGCCACGTAATAAGGTGCGCTCTTCTAAACCTCGGGCCCAGTGGGTGCCTGGGCCACGTAATAAGGTGCGCTCTTCTAAACCTCGGGCCCAGTGGGTGCCTGGGCCACGTAATAAGGTGCGCTCTTCTAAACCTCGGGCCCAGTGGGTGCCTGGGCCACGTAATAAGGTGCGCTCTTCTAAACCTCGGGCCCAGTGGGTGCCTGGGCCACGTAATAAGGTGCGCTCTTCTAAACCTCGGGCCCAGTGGGTGCCTGGGCCACGTAATAAGGTGCGCTCTTCTAAACCTCGGGCCCAGTGGGTGCCTGGGCCACGTAATAAGGTGCGCTCTTCTAAACCTCGGGCCCAGTGGGTGCCTGGGCCACGTAATAAGGTGCGCTCTTCTAAACCTCGGGCCCAGTGGGTGCCTGGGCCACGTAATAAGGTGCGCTCTTCTAAACCTCGGGCCCAGTGGGTGCCTGGGCCACGTAATAAGGTGCGCTCTTCTAAACCTCGGGCCCAGTGGGTGCCTGGGCCACGTAATAAGGTGCGCTCTTCTAAACCTCGGGCCCAGTGGGTGCCTGGGCCACGTAATAAGGTGCGCTCTTCTAAACCTCGGGCCCAGTGGGTGCCTGGGCCACGTAATAAGGTGCGCTCTTCTAAACCTCGGGCCCAGTGGGTGCCTGGGCCACGTAATAAGGTGCGCTCTTCTAAACCTCGGGCCCAGTGGGTGCCTGGGCCACGTAATAAGGTGCGCTCTTCTAAACCTCGGGCCCAGTGGGTGCCTGGGCCACGTAATAAGGTGCGCTCTTCTAAACCTCGGGCCCAGTGGGTGCCTGGGCCACGTAATAAGGTGCGCTCTTCTAAACCTCGGGCCCAGTGGGTGCCTGGGCCACGTAATAAGGTGCGCTCTTCTAAACCTCGGGCCCAGTGGGTGCCTGGGCCACGTAATAAGGTGCGCTCTTCTAAACCTCGGGCCCAGTGGGTGCCTGGGCCACGTAATAAGGTGCGCTCTTCTAAACCTCGGGCCCAGTGGGTGCCTGGGCCACGTAATAAGGTGCGCTCTTCTAAACCTCGGGCCCAGTGGGTGCCTGGGCCACGTAATAAGGTGCGCTCTTCTAAACCTCGGGCCCAGTGGGTGCCTGGGCCACGTAATAAGGTGCGCTCTTCTAAACCTCGGGCCCAGTGGGTGCCTGGGCCACGTAATAAGGTGCGCTCTTCTAAACCTCGGGCCCAGTGGGTGCCTGGGCCACGTAATAAGGTGCGCTCTTCTAAACCTCGGGCCCAGTGGGTGCCTGGGCCACGTAATAAGGTGCGCTCTTCTAAACCTCGGGCCCAGTGGGTGCCTGGGCCACGTAATAAGGTGCGCTCTTCTAAACCTCGGGCCCAGTGGGTGCCTGGGCCACGTAATAAGGTGCGCTCTTCTAAACCTCGGGCCCAGTGGGTGCCTGGGCCACGTAATAAGGTGCGCTCTTCTAAACCTCGGGCCCAGTNTAATCCTTAATCCTTAATCCTTAATCCTTAATCCTTAATCCTTAATCCTTAATCCTTATTCCTTAATCCTTAATCCTTAATCCTTAATCCTTAATCCTAATTCATCCTTAATCCTTAATCCTTAATCCTTAATCCTTAATCCTTAATCCTCAATCCTTAATCTTGACTGCGTCAAGATTACGGTCTGTCAGGAGTGATTTATTGTCATGCTTAAAGCATTTTTTATATTTACTAGTTCGCTAGTTAACAAACTGCGTCAAGATTTAGACTCGTCAAGAGTGATTTATTGTTGTGCTCAATTGCTTAGAATATTTATTGTTCTCACTAGTACACTTGTATTTGTTGTGTTTTGTATTACACTAAAATTTATTGTTCTTTAATTCACGCTATTATTTCACTCGAATTTATTGCTGGTATTTACTGTGTTTTTTATTACACTAAAATTTATTGTTCTTTAATTCATGCTATTATTTGACGCGATTTTTTGCTCACTACTATTCGATGGTGCACGTTATATTA